CCCCCAATAGTCACCAGAGCGAACCAGGAAATGGCTGGAAGTTTTGATTTGTTGTGAAACTGAAGTGTTTGAAAATGGTTGGTTTTAAGATCAGAAACATTTCGCGGGTTTAAAGAAATCTTGGGCCTCCGGGGCTGGGGGGTTCTCAGCCTGCGACTGACACCGTGCTCGGCTTTCAGGTAAAGGTGAGCTGAAAGTGCACCTACAAAGGGTGTTCAGTCCCGGCTTCAGGAACAGTAAAAAGTGCAAATAAAAACCACAGGACGGGAAGGTGATTTTTTAAAAGCCTGCCTAAAATGATGCCTCTGAGAAATCCCCTGCTGCCTTTGCTGCGGCATCACAGAATGACCTTCTTTGCACCAGCCGACCCTGGGAGGTGTGTGTGTGTAAATGGATCAGGGCCCTTTTCCAGGAAAGGGGAGTTGAGCAAGGATTCAGCAGCTGAGAATGCAGCTTGGATCTTATTTTCCACTGAATGGATTCACACACTAAACACATTCAGCACCACTGAAATGCAGCCACCTCTGGGGCGGAGGGGAGCAGCCAGCATGCTGCACGAAAGTCCTGAGAGGAAAGTTTGGCCACGGTCACCTCTGTGCTTCTGAAGAGTGCCAGGGATCCCTTAGGGCCATGCAGAGCGGAGGGACCCTAGATTTTAAGGTCTCATCAGAAAAGTCTGCAACAGAACAACCTGCATGCAGTGGCACCGGAACACTTTTTATAATGGGGGTGTTGTGTCCCTGTCCGTGGCCCCCGCCATCCCATGGAGCTGGGGCTGGGAGCAGGGCCGTGGCTCCAGGGCGGGGGACGTGGACAGGGGGCCAAGGCTGGGGTCACAGCTGGGGGCAGGCGCGGAGCCCAAGGCCCGGGGCCAAAGACTGCAGCCCCAGGTGCGGGGCCGGCAGCCAGGACCCCGGGCGTGGGGCCAGGACCATGAGCAGAGTGCTGCAGCGCCCCCCGCACCGCTAGTTCCCGCGCCTATGACTGCATGGTACTGGGTTTATCTACTCACAGTGATTAAACAGGCAGCAAGACAGTTCAGTGCTTAGGGAAGAAGAGCTCTAGAGCAGAGACAGAGGAAGCATTGGCAGTGGGAAGGGAAGGCTGGATCAGGGCTCTTTTTGCTTGGCAGGAGGTTTCAATAATCAGGAGAGGGGTGGGGAGTGGCCACGTTGGGGCCTTGTCTCTCTCTAGGACTGGAGTGGCTCCCTCAAGGTCTGACCGGGATTTTGCCTCTGGAAGCCCTACTGGCCGCAGAAACTCATTCCAGGATGTGGTCCCTGTTTGCCCCCCTGGTTCAGATGTGCGGATCCCCCTCTAGTACCAGCTGGTCCACCTATGAGGATAAAAGCCTACTACTGCCAGTGAATGGGGTTACTCCTTCAGCTCAAGTAGTAGAGGTCCATGCTTTTAGCACTGAAGCAGGTGATGACCCATGAGGGCTCCATCTTTTACATCAAGCCTTTAGCGAGGGATGTCAGATCAGTCTGAGCCAGACATATACCCCACCCATCTGCCAGGAGGGAGGAGGACCCCCCAGACCACCGAGGGAGCAAGTTCTCAGCTTCCCCCAGCTTCCTCCACTCCCTTGAGTAGCTCGGGTGCCAGGCCACAGAGCAGCAGAGATGTAGCTGTCAGTTTCACTTCTGCCGCAGAAGGGTGGGAATGGTAGCTGGGCCCAACCGTGCTCTGGTGCTGGAGACTTTCAGACTTTCGCCTCTTTCCGATACATTTACTAAAAACTAAACAGGCACCCCATGATGTTGGTGGGGCTGTGAAACAAACAGGGTGGGGCTCTGAGCTAATACTCCGGGTTTTAATTTCACACCTGGGATAAGACCATATGGGATTCCACTGGGATCTTGAGATAGGCAGGGTTCCTGCAATTTGCCACTGCCAGAAGCAGCTGCTGAGAGCTGGGGGCATGGGAAGTATTCTGCAAACTTTCCACTCAAATACCAGGCTGAAGGGCACCTTAGCAGAACACGTAACAAACTATAACCATGGTGAGTGAGTGGCAGGATCCTGTAATCCTTCCCATGAATCGGTGCTGCTGCCCTGTCGCCCTGAGCAAGCACAGGTACGTCTACGCTGCCTCAGAGGTGCGATCGCTGCACACGGAGACATAGGCCTTGTCTACACTACACAGTTTTGTCGACAAAAGTCCGCTTTTGCCGACAAAACACTGGAGGTGTATACACTGCCGTGCTCCTCCTGCTAGTGTAACTCCCCCACTGTGATGATACAATAGAACCACCTCGGCGAGAGGCGTAAGGCTTATGTCGGTGTAGTTAGTGTAGACATTACGTTCCTTACATCGGCTGTTGGATGCCTTAGAGCCGTGAAATTGACATGAAAGCGGCTCCCGGCTCCCCAGCCAGACTGCTGTGGGATCTCTGCTCCAAGCTGAGCTGCCACCCAGCCTCCCGGCTTGGGCTACTGCCCACAGGTTCCCTGCTCCCCACCGGGAGCCCTGCAGCTCCCTGGGGTCATGGTTCCCTGCTCCCCGCCGGGAGCACAACAGCCAGCCAGACTCCGGGTACAGATCTCCCCGCTGGAGGCGAGAAGCCTGGGAGCATGGAGGTGAGACGCCCCGGACGGCAGCTGGGCTCCCCGTGTGGAGCTGCATGGGGCTGAGAGCCCTGGCTCTCAGTCCCCCACGCTGCTCCTCTTCAGTCGGTGGAAGCGTTCCAGGTGAGGACGCGTGCCAGAGACAGGAGGGTAGTGTGGACATCAGCCAGCACTGACATCAGCGAAGCCAGCGCTGCTGCGGATCTGGGACCAGCCTTAGCTAGGCCGAAGCCAGCGCTGCTGCGGCTCTGGGACCAGAGCCGGCCAGGTTAACACTAGCCTGGACACGTCAACATGTGCTGCAATCACACCTCTGATTTCAGTGCCCGAGACCCACAGAGGCATGCGTAGGACCAGGGCTGAGCGCGGCAGGGAGAAGGGTCACCTCCAGCTCAGAGAGCAGCTGCAGAGCTGTTCCCTGGAGGCTACGTCAGTGCAAGAGCCAGAGTGACTGGCAGGGAGGGCCCAGCAGCACATCCTCTGACCACACCAGCCCCCCTCGCTTACTGCCCGGGAGCCTGGATAGCTGGGCTGGCAGCAACGTGGGCATGGGCAACTCTTCCCCCGGTCACCTAAACAGCATAATGGGGCTAGTTCCGCTACCGGCCGTAAGGCTGACTACACTGTCCCCTGTGAAGGCGTGCTGTTCCCATAGCAACGCCACACTCAGCACAGGCCCGGGTTAAAGAACTGGGTGCAAACCAGCCCTCTGCTCCAGGCCCGCAGGGTGCACCATGGGCAGCATGCTGAGCTCCTGCACGGGGGGGGGCATTCAGCAAAGTGCCCCCCCATGCATAACAAACCCACACACGGACCCCCGAAGGCCCCTCGCACCGCAACCTATATACAGGCCCCTACACACCCCACGTGTACCCAACAGCCGACCACCAGCCCTCCCATCCCAGCAGCCCTGACATTCATCCTGCCCCACCTAAAACCCTACATCCCGGCCTCCAGCCCCACCTGCTCCCAACTTCCCCCCGCCCAAAACCCTACACCCCACATAGCCCCATCTGCTCCCAATATCCCGCCCAAACCCTACATCCCCCATAGCCCCATCTACTCCCAATGTCCCCCCAAAACCCTACATCCCAGCCCCACCTGCTCCC